CTGGGAACCACCCTTTCCCATCATGCTACAGACTTCAAAAAAATCAGGGATGTTAGTAAAAAAATATCAAATCAGCCCATCACCTTGAATTGTGTATACACTCACAACAATGCAACCTGACCTGACATAATCAGCATATGTGGGGACACCAATATATCGTTCAATTTGGGGACCTAATTTACATAGCACCTCCCACAATGACAAAACACCAGCACTCATGAGGACCGTATACTTCATGGGGACCAATCCAATTAGCATATACATACACACACACACACAGAAAGGTTATTGGGTAAGGTGGGGACACAGCATTTCCCTGATTTTGGACTTGGTCTATCAATGTTTGTATGGGAGTCACAGGCAGCTGGAGAAGTTGAATCTTACCATTTACACAGTACAACTGAGGCATTGGTGTTTGAGTGAGGTTATCTGCTGCAGACTCATTTTACAGCCCAACGCTGGTGGTTTAGCTCAACATGGAATAACTACTAGGTAATGCAATCTTTAAATGTAACCTTAAAACCTTTATTGCAACAACTTAAAGGTAATCTTAGTACTTTAACTGGTAAAGCAGACAGAACTAAAAGAATTGATGCAACTTCACTGCATTATATTCAACACTGCTTAAAGGCAGTAACAACAAAACAAAAAAAAGAGAAAAAAAACCTGTAATGTATAATACAGGTAAAAACAAAACAGCATTATTAACTGCACTGTGCTGCAACATGAAGGTCAGAAAATTTAAAATTGACAGCTAAAGCTTTCGTTTCAGCGCAGTAATTTTGTTCTTTACAAAATACTTTACGGCTCGCCAGTCACGGGTTTTGAGAACGTCTGGTTCCGCCTGTAGGCATTTTTCACAGTCTTGTTTTCCTGGGACACGTAGGGATTGGATGAATCCATCCAAATGCTTTTGGACTGCCTCTACCTCATTGTCCTCCCACTTCTTCTTCTGAGCTCTGCTTCCGTGTCCTGTTGAGCACAAATCAAAAAGTTTAATTCCACAAGCGAATCAAATATAGGCTGGTGTATCATACTAATCAAGACTTTCTGTTCAACTTCCATTAAAGGATAATTTCAGTGTGAAACAAATTCTGTGAAAAATTGCAAAATGATAACGAGATTGAGCATTTGGTAGGGATCAAAACTTCATTAAGTGCCTTTTGGAAGCATCAGTTAAAAGCAATCCAGTTTAGAATGCAACAGGTTAGCATAGTTTTAGTCCCCAACATACATTCAAACTCATCATGATGAAATATACCCCAGTTTTACACACTGGAATTCTCCTTTAATATTAAGACAGAACAGATGCCATTTAAATGTGTTTTCTTTACTTACCTGTTTGTTGTGACTTTTTGTTTTCTCGCTTGTCCGTGTCCAAGGTCTCCTTTCCACACAAATTAATATCTACAAAAAATGACAACAATAAAATCCATACATGCAGGAATCACATGAATCTGACAGGATCACTGAAAAGAAATGTATTAATGAGTAACTTCTTGTCTGACATCCATCATGCTTTGTCATTTACATGTAATATTGTTAAAGGCAGTAATCTTCTTAGAAATCTGAGAAAGGCCACATTTATTCCATTACAAAGTAGTACAAGGCAGTACATTATAATGTACAACCCCAAAACAGGAAATTCCCTGTACTACACAGGAAGAGAACGCTGTACTTTAAATAATCTGAAAATAATTAGCTAACAAAGTTAGAAAGCATGCAGAAGTGTAAATTAATCCACTAAATCATCTTTTGGCACCTTTTCAGAGCATAGTAAGGTCAACAAAATTATTTTAAACGTGTCATACAATTAACATTTCTAACCCATTAACTTGTGAAGTTGTGGAAACCAGTGCAACTATTTAAACATCTTATGGCCTTAACAGCAGACAGTGAGCCAACAAAAATCTATGCAATAAGATTTCCTTTACTACCTGCTGCAAATAGAACCAGTGATACTTTCTTTACATACCTGCTGATTGTGACTTTATGGATCTCTCCTTGTTGGTGTCAAGTTCATTGCAATGCAAATCCCCATCCTCTGCTAAAATAGTGATAACAATAAGCATCAAATATGTGTCAATTAAAATCTTATAGTGCAAGACAAAACTTTACGTACGCATCAGCTGTGACTCCATGTCCTCCTGAATTTCATCTTCAATGTCCTGGACTACCTCTATTTCACAACAGATACCAAAATAAATATAGTTAGAGACACATCATTCACATTAGAGACAAATCATTACAAGCATATTAAAGCACTTTTATACATACCATTTGGATCTATTTCGATCTCATCTAGATTCTTCCCCTTAAAGTCCACGAGCCTTCCTTGCTCCAATGACATCAGCACTTTGCTAATTTTAGCAAGCTGTAGTGTCCCTTCTGGGAGACGATAGTATTGGCGGTGGACATACAGGTCATGACCAAGAAAGTTTGCAAGCTGGTCCATTTCATTTTCATTCATATTAAGGACTGTAGACAATGTTGCTGCATGTTTCCTCAACTTTGTGGAGGAAATGGCACCAGGATTCTTTGCCCCACAAGCCTTTGGCAAAAACACCAATGCAACTGCCACGCTGATGGAACATTGAGGCTGGCCTGGCGAACAAATAAGGGTTTTCCTGTAGAACTCCACACGTCTGTCTTGTTTGGACAAGTAGCTCCAGTGCATCAACCATCTTTGGTGTTAGAAGGATGGGTACTTTACGTCCCCTTTTTCCTCTAGTCTCAATCCTCACAAAATGACGGCACAGCTTTTTCTCAGTCTCTGATAGAGCCCAATCTACATCTTCATGTGGCACTGATGTATCCCTTGAAAGAAAAGCAGAGAGTGGCATAGAGGAAACCTCACCTTCCCTTCTCCTGTTGAAAAGAATAACTTCAGCAAGACAAACCTTCGCCAGATATGACCAGTTTTCAGCTGAGGGCTTTGTGCTTAAGAATTCCATGTATTCTGAACCCTTCCTGTCCAGGTAGGAATGAAGAGCCTGTATATCCTCTGTGAATGGGAGGATCAGTGGAGCATTCCATTTTGCCTCACTAATATTCCTAAGTGCTGTTGAGGATATAAAAATCATTCCATCGAGCTGCATGTACTTTCTGGAAGTTAGTGGCTCTCTCAAGTGCTTCCTCATCTCCTGCCATTCTGGCATTGCTTTCCATCAGTTTGCCTAGTTTTGTGAGACTATGTCCAAGTTTAAGTGCAAGGGATCCAATTCTAAATTGTTCTTCGTCACTTTTGTAACCGCATGTTTTTTTAACAGCCTTAACAAGTGTGAGGTAGTTTTTGGCATCTATTAGGTCTTTAATTTCTTTCACAGGTGCAATCTGTCGGGCATTTACAAGAAGTCGGCCAAGTTCTCGCATTTTCTGCCTGATATACTCATGTCTCTTTATGTTAGAACCACACTTGTTCAAAAAGTGTTGTCCCAGTTGCAATATGGAAGGGTCGTTCTTAACTTCCCTTGTAATGTCATCTTGTGACATGTCACTAAGAAGCTTCCATAACTTTTTAGATATGTGTGAAGGATGTGGCTCCATATAGGCACAGATAGACTGAACCCGAGTCATTCCAGGTTTGACACAATGATTTGTAGGACGCAGTCGACAGATTCTTATGTGTCTCCATAACATCTTTCTAAAGAAGAGACCGTGGCAGTAAACACAATGCATGAAATCTTTGTGACCTGCATTTTTGCATGGTCTTTTTTCGAGGAACTAGTTCTCCTTCGCCAGTTTTTATCACTTCAGCATTATGAAGATAATTGCCTTTATTCCTGAGTGATTCCAAGTGGAGCTTCCTTTCATTTGATCCTTTTGGGAATTTTATTGCATAAGCTACGTCTTTCTCGTTTGAATGGACTCTTTCGAGGTGCCTTGCCATTTTCATGAAGGGTTTGAAGCAAAAGAGACAATATTGTCTTTTATCATATATTCTGGAACCATCACTTTTCTTTGTGACAACTGGAACAACCACAGAAGGTTTACTTGTTGACATCAAATCCTGGCCTTCAGCAACTTCTTCGTCCTCTTCATTTCCTTCTAAATTCAAAGTTGCTGGTGCTGGTACAAGACAGGAAGTAGTGCTGTCTGGACTCTGTACTTGGTTTGGAAGGGACTTCCTATTTTTTTTGGGTGTAGGTGTGCTGCTCAAGGTAAGAGAACTGCTACTTTCATCACAGGAGTCCGGAACATAATCATCACTGTTGTCTGGAGTCGATTCATACCAATCCTCATAGGGTGGAAGGGTTGACTTCATCTGAACAAAATACATGAAATTACATCAGCAATGCCATTAACACAATAATCCCAATATTTTTACTGTATATGTTTTAGACAGTGTCACTCTCTTTGGGAAATAAGCTACTCACAAACAAGCTTTTGGTTCTTTGCAGTCTTGGTACACAAGCACTGTCGTCATCATCAGATGATTCAGAATGATCTGGTGTAGACTTGTATGCATTTTCATTGGCCTATGTAACAAAAAGGAGAATGCATTAGATCCTAATTGTCTTCATTGACTACATTAAACATCTAAATCATTAGTCTAGAAAAAAAATAAAATAAAAAAAATAAAAAATAAAAAACAAATGACTGACCGAACACCCTTGACAACATGACACATAGAAGAAAGCTGATGTAGCGTAAACATTATATATTTAAAAAAAAAAAAAAAAAGACCCTATATGCACTTCACATCCAGTTCCAGTTTGAAGAAGGCTGAGGTAGTGTAAAACCATGGTACATATTACCAACCATGGCGACAATGTTTGTTACCAATGTTTTACTGGCTTTACAGGTCAGTTCTACTGTACAGTACTATTTCTGTAACTGCAAATACCTGAGTGGCACATGTTTGGATGCTGCTGGTAAATGGCACATTTTCCAGGCTGCAAGTGGCATCCTCACTCTGCACAAGAAGAGAAAAACGTGCACAAAGTGTAAACATGTATCTGATAGATAAACATTCAATCATAACATCCTTCTGGACACATTCAACTTGCATCAATGTTTTCAGTTAAATATGAGTCGTGGGGACCAGGAGAAACAATTCATGAAGGCATGACATACACTTTACCTCAATAGGAGAGAGTTTAAAGAAAGACGAGGTACCATGTATAACATCAATTTTGGGGACCAAGGGATACCATTCAATCTGCATTATTTCTAAAGATAAAGGGAAGTATATTCATCGACTGCACTGCATTTTTTCATTTTACCACCAAAAATTGTATAAGCCATTTTGATGTCTGTTTATTTAAGCCTAGTGGCATAAATTGTATTTTAATGTATGTAATACCATTACAGGCAGTGTGCTTCACAATACAATTTCCATACCAAGCAAATGCTGATTTTGTTATCTGTTTATATTTGGATGTCACTCGTTGCAGAAGGCACACTACTTCGGCTCTGACCAGTTTCATTGGGCTTTCCAAGGGGAAGAAAGAATATATTTGAAGTGTATAAACATTTTAAAATCACCAAAAAATTGGCTCTCAAAATTTAAAATGTAATAACTGTAAGAGGGAGTGGCCACGGTGCCCAGAGTAACACACAGACAAAAGGCAATTGAAGCTTGTTCTACTGATATATTTGACATTTGTTGTCCTAACAACATGAAACTTGGCACTGTACTCACTCGTGCCATTAGCAAGACACCTACCAAATTTGAGTTCAGTGGAACAAATGGTTCGAGAGTTGTGCAGAGTGACATACAGAGTGGTACACAGACAGATGTTGCTTTTATAGATACTTATTATTAGGGATGTGAATATGGCAAAAAACACTATTCGAAAATCAATGACAGCTATTCAAATATTATTCGAAAATCGAATCTATCTAATGCCGCGCGATAAGTTTTCTTCTTCTGTTATTCCGGAGCAGCCTCTACACTCGGCCTAGTCTACCGCGCCTACAGGGAGTTTTACAGTCTGTTACACCACCTTCTGGCCTAATGCCGTACATGAAATATTGGTTAGGAAACGTTTTTATTCGAAATTACTATTCGATATTCGAACGTATGACAAATATTCAACTATTCGAAAATCATGTCTCATCCCCACTTATTATACAGCTGAACAACTGAACCAGGAATAATGGCAGTCGTTAAGACTTGGTTAACAATCGGTCTTAGTGAGTTAGGAGACTTCTGGACTTCTTTGGGACACTAAAATGTCAATTACATGGATTCAAAAATAAATAGAAGTCCTGAAGTTAAGACTGACATGCCTGTTATTTTCAGTAGTTCCACCTAAATTCACCAGCTAGAAGCTAGTTTTAGCCTTAAGATGCTTTGTGAATATAGGCCCAGATATTACATTACCTGATTGTCACATGTTGGGATGTCACTAGTAGCAGAAGGCTCAGTATTCAGGCTGTTTCCGGCTCCATCATGCTACACATGAAGACAGAGAAATGTGTGTGAAGAATAAACATTTTGCACTAAACAAATGCATTCAGCCCTCAAAGTACATGCTCAAACATGAATGCAAAAAATTTCTTTAAAAAACAAGCGATGTACACTTGTTTACTTTTTAGTGTGGTCAATTATTAAGCATAATCCTTGCAAGATGCCTCAGTGACGATAATATGCACTTTACAAAGTAATGGCAACACTTTCTACGAAGCTTGTATTCACAACAGTATAAACATAATCATAAAGACTTCATTCATAATGAATGTAAAGTATTCATAACAATTTATACATACTCATGACTATACTCCTAAGGCATTATATGCTATATCATAAGCCCTACTAACCGTGAGTAGGCCACAGGTTTGGAAAAAAATTGGGTGCGAGCAGTGAGCACATGGAGCAGAAGCTTGTCAAAAAGACCGGTGCAAAATCCAGAATATGAAATCCATGGCTGTCAAACATGGAAAAGAGTGATTATGTTACCTGAGTGGCAGGAGTTGGACATTCGCTGGTAGAAGGCACATTTTCAAGGCTGCAAGTAGCATCATCACCCTTGAAAAGAAAGAAAGACAAGTGCATTAAGTTTTAACATGTACCTCATAAACAGACTGTCGGCCATTACCACCTTCTAAACACTTTAACCTTGCACCTAGATATGAATCTTTTTTTAGTTTTTCCAAGTGAACATGAGGTTTGGGGGGGGGGGGGGCAATAATCCGTGAAGACCCTACACTCCCCTGACTTCAATATGATAATTAAAAGCATAGTTATGGGGGCTAAGTGAAATAATTCTTTGAAGCACTACACACATACACACTCAACTTAAATATGACAATTCATAACAAGCTGAAGTAGAATAAAACATCTGTTATGGAGACCAACTGAAAGAGTCCTACACACACACTTATGGGGACCAACTGCAGGAATCTGAAGCAGTCCTGCACACACTCGACATTAATACATACAAGAATAAAACATCTGTTGTGGGGACCAACTGAAAGAGTCCTACACACACACAGTTATGGGGACCAACTGCAGGAATCTGAAGCAGTCCTGCACACACTCCACATTAATACATACAAGAATAAAACATCAGTTGTGGGGACCAACCGATAGAGGGCAAAGAGGCCCAGCATACACCAAGATGTAATAGGATTGTAAGACGCAAGCTGATCTCCAATAATACATCAGTTTGGGGGACAAGTGAAAGTAAAGATAGCATAGATTGTAAGACAAAATGTGAGAAAATTTAGGCTAGAAAGTACACCAATAGCTAGTGTTACGTAGGCTAGATAAGTAATGCTCACAGACACACAAACAACCTCTCTAGTGAGAGTGTTAGAATGGGTTCTCCCTGTGTTACCTTCTCTCAAACTATGATGCAGTAAAAGTAGCATGTAATTCAAATTAGCAGCTAAGTATCTAGTTAGCAATAGCTACCTACATTTCTAAGAGCTAGGTTACAGTAAGCAGTACAGAAGCCATTTTAACAAACTCAACATAAGGTGTAAGCACCAGTGCTGTAACTGTAGCCCTAGCCTTTGATGCAGACTTGTTATCAAGGCAATAGTTCCAGGTTTATACCCATTTTAAGCCTAACTCAGTCCAGTATAAGCAACTCCATAGATTAATCTTAAGTGATTGACTGCTAAATAAGTGAATAATAGAGATGTGATTCTGTGCTAATCTCAGAGGGAAACCTGTTAGGGGTTAGTGAACACAAATTGAATAAAAAGCAAAAACAATAAGGAAATTAATGGCTGTCAAACATGTCAAAAATTTAATTAAATCATTACAAATTAATGTGTCAAATGAATGCCAAATTCTGCTTCACAATACGATTCCCAGAACAGGTAAGGAGTGATTATGTTACCTGAGTGGCAGGAGTTGGACATTCGCTGGTAGAAGGCACATTTTCAAGGCTGCAAGTAGCATCATCACCCTTGAAAAGAAAAGACAAGTGCATTAAGTTTTAACATGTACCTCATAAACAGACTGTCGGCCATTACCACCTTCTAAACACTTTAACCTTGCACCTAGATATGCATCTTTTTTTAGTTTTTCCAAGTTAACCTGAGGTTTGAGGGGGGGGGCAATCCGTGAAGACCCCACACTCCCCTGACTTCAATATGATAATTAAAAGCATGTTTAAGAAAATAAAACATTAGTTGTGGGGGCTAAGTGAAATAATTCTTTGAAGCACTACACACATACACACTCAACTTAAATATGACAATTCATAACAAGCTGAAGTAGGAGACCAACTGAAAGAGTCCTACACACACACACTTATGGGGACCAACCGCAGGAATCTGAAGCAGTCCTGCACACACTCGACATTAATACATACAAGAATAAAACATCTGTTGTGGGGACCAACTGAAAGAGTCCTACACACACAGTTATGGGGACCAACTGCAGGAATCTGAAGCAGTCCTGCACACACTCCACATTAATACATACAAGAATAAAACATCAGTTGTGGGGACCAACCGATAGAGGTCAAAGAGGCCCAGCATACACCAAGATGTAATAGGATTGTAAGACGCAAGCTGATCTCCAATAAAACATCAGTTTATGGACTCACTGAAAGTCCTACACACACACACAGAGTGGGGACCAACTGAAGTAATCTGAAACAGTTCTGCACACACTCGACATTAATACAACAGAAGTAAACTGAGGTAGGATAGAACATCAGTTGTGAGGATCATCTGATAAAGGTCAAAAAGGCCCAGCATACACTTAGCTTTAAAAGGACCGTAAGACACAAGCTGATCTCCAAGAAAGCATCGGTTTGGGGACAAGTGAAAGCAAAGATAGCATAGAATGTAAGACAAAATGTAAGAAAATTTAGGCTAAACAACCTCTCTAGTGAGAGTGTTAGAATGGGTTCTCCCTGTGTTACCTTCTCTCTCTCTCCAACTATGATGCAGTAAAAGTAGCATGTAATTCAAATTAGCAGCTAAGTATCTAGTTAGCAATAGCAACCTACAGCTCTAAGAGCTAGGGTACAGTAAGCAGAACAAAAACCATAGCAACTAACTCAACATAAGGTGTAAGCACCAGCGCTGTAACTGTGGCCCTAGCCTCTAATGTATGCTTGTAGTTAGGAAATAGTTCCACATTTGGCCACATTGAAACCTAACCCAGTCCTGTGTAAAAGCCTCCCTAGATTAAGCTTCAGTGAGTATTAGCCACATAAGTGGCTAAGACTGATAGGCCAAAATATATTTTCTGTAGGTGATACAGTAGGAAAGAACCTTATGTTACTGATCTTTAAAATGTGTGAAGTGACTGGAAAGATTCAGGTGTTGTGGCCCTATCAGCATTGTCAGGGCACTGCATTGGTATAAGCAATAATTAAGAATGCATACCTTCTCCTGCACTTTTGAATTGGCTCCTCCCTCAGGTTTCATTGAGGTGCTTGCTTGCAAGTTGCACTTCTTGGAAGACTGTGGGAAGGCAGCATAAAACAAGATTTAACCGTAGAACTCATTTTATTCATTCATTCTTAGTCATTTTCTTATATACTCCCTTTTTTTGATGCTGCCTTTTACAAACTAATTGCAGCAATGTTACTGTAGCTCTCACAACTAGGAAAAAAAAAAAAAGTATTTTTGTACGCATTATGCACTTTTGTGTTGTAAATTCTAAGGGTGAGGCCTCTGAATTCAGAATATATTGGGGAGTAATATTTAAATTACATTCATTTTCAGGCTCATATTATCATCAGCTGCTCATTCTTAAAGCAACACAATGCAACATTTGCATGTTTTGTAAATCTCGTGAGCCCTGTAGTAAATGGATTTCTTGCACAAATTTGTGCTGGTTTTGATATTTATTTGATAAATGAAGAGCTTTATGTCCTATATTTTTTTCTGACTGAGTCGCTTTCTCAGATGTACTGTATAGTATTTGTAAGCAAAAAACTGCATCGCTTTTTCACGTGGTCTGTTTTTCACAGGTCTAAAGCACTGCTTGTATGCATGTTCAATAACTGCCCTTGTATGGAGTCAAACTGCAACAATTACACTGTTATCTAGGATCAGAAATCATTGTAAGCCATTATTATAACTAATAAGGTTATTATTTTAAACAGAAATTGTTAATGCTGCTAAATCTCACCTCATTTCTCCAAGGCCAGTCTGTCCCACCATAATCATAAGTGATCTCTTCTCCTTGGCCGATGTCACGGAGGGCAAACAAACAGAGATGTGGTTTACCATCAGCCTCAATTAACTTCATGCGGCAATTAGGAGTCTTATGGTCATCATTCACCAATCTCCCAAGAGTGTTGTCTTCTAATGTTGCATCAATGCTGGAAAATGCCTTAAAATTAACAAGAGCACTGCAAAATACAGATTTTTTTTTTGAAGGAACACTCAATTTTTTGGGGAAATAAACTCTAAGGGAGTTAGAAAATGAGCCTAACAGTTGAGTTTTACTGTTTTTTATCCATTCAGCCAATCTCCGGATCTGGCAGGAAGACCTCTTGAACTGCCAGTTTGACTTTAGCCAGAGAGTGTTGAGGCAAGATCTTTGCTTTAGCTATTATCTAGTAGCATGCTAACTGGTCTAACCCAGCTACTGCCAGACCTGGAGATTGGTTGAATGAATTACAACATGGTGAAACTCAACTGTTTAACTCTAAAGGATTTGGAAAGTGAGCCTTTTTGAGTGTTCCTTTCATCATAGAAATTGCTGAAAACCTACCACCACCATTTGCGTTTCCATTTAAAGTCAAACATAAAGGCACAGTCTTTATGGTAAATTCTTCGCCTGTGCTCAGCTTCTGCTGCATCAATGACCACTCCTCTGTATTCTACCACAAACTCACCCTGCTGGAATGGTGCTAAGGTAAAGACACCACGGCCTGAAAAACAGAATGTGGGTCAGAAATTTACAAAATGCTACATCAGCATATATGAGTATATAAACTCCCACATAGCACTGCTAGCACAGGCTACACACTCATAGCAAGAGAATAAACATGTTACAATCTTTAAAAAAAAAATTCATTACTTAAAGTAGGGCTTTCAGACTGGAACCCCAGTATGCTTGTATTGTGTGAATGGGTGGGGGAATACAACAGTTCAGTGGTTAAACTACAGTTACATGAAATTAACTTTCTCACCTACCTGCCAATGCCATGTAAGATGTGCATACTTACCGACCAAAATATATTTTTACTGACAAATATGTTTTATGTACTTTTTTTTTAAAATGACAATTTATCAGTGCACATTAGAAATAATTGCAAATCTTAAAGGAATACGCCACCCCTAGGGGAAATTTTGTCTGTCCCTGCAGTCCCTAGAGTTGGAAAAGAAAGCAAAAGCATTTTCCAACAGACCCAGCTGTGTGGTGTCTTTGCACCTTTCAGCGCTGCTTTACCTGTCCTTTGCCTGTGCTTCCGCAGAATATAGTCCCCCATCTAAATGCCACTTGGTCAATTTCTTCCTGTTAATTTGCATTGTCATTTGTACTCAATCTGAATGCACAGGTTGCGCTCACTTTATTCTGCAAGCTAAATAACTCAACAAAACCAGTTCAGAAGTACTTGCACAAATAAATTACTGTAGTCTGTTAACTTGAATATGACACCGTCTGCTTTCAGAAAGTTTGTTTAAAAAAATAGTGCCTGTGGAGTCATACGTAGATAACAAGACACAACAGAGCATCGTGTATAGCGTTCGGAGCTGTTACCAAACATTTCTATGTTTTCCTGCTGTTTCCAGTTCAACAGATAACATACCTTTTTGAGGACTGATGTATTTCACGTCCAGCATTTGAGTCTTGTCCCTGGCATTGGCTGCATGATCACATGCATCATGCATGGGATTGAGTCGATGTCGTCGCATGTTAGTCTGTAAATGCAAACATGAATATAAACGATTTTTTGTATCATGCCAGTTAAGCACCACGTTTGTAAATGCTAGCTCATTATGCTAGGTTGCTCATGTGTAGGGTTGCCAACTCCCTGAAAAATAAGTAAGTTACACCTCATTGGCAGGGCCAGTGTCCTGTCGATTTGAGCTACATAGCGCTACTTACTACACATGCGCACCCACCCAAGCGCTGTTCTAGTTTAAATGCTGTCAAGTTGAGCTCCCAAGGCAGAAGTGGAGTAACAAGTCACATTTTAAAAGTCTTTTGGTTTTGTTGTATGTTTTGATCAGTTACATGTGTAAGCATGGACATGTGCATGTTAGATTTGTGGCAGAATACCTACGTTAGGCTGCCGATAGCTCATTTCGCCGGGGCAGCCCATTTCGACAGAACACTGTAAAGCACTGTCAGTGCCACGCTGCTTTGTTGCAGAGGGGAACTCTCAGGGTCTTCAAGGTTTTCAGTGAAGGCCCAAGAAAAAAATATTGAAATATTTTTTTTACTACTAATATATTTTTTCAATATATTATATTCAGTGAGTAATAAACATGAAACTAGTAATAATTTCTAGATCATGGTTATAAACTTGGACTAATATTTCTTGGGAAACAAAGGGTTAATGTAAGGGGATGGAAATGGACCAATCACAATTTTTCTTCCAATGGTATCTGGGTAAATCAGTGACTATTTGGACGCCTCGGGGGCGTCTGAAAGAAAAAAGAAAGACTCGAGTCCCGCGGGATTCGGAGCTCGGCCCGGCCGCGGGACTCGCGGGACTCGCGGGGCTCGGAGCTCGGCCCGGCCGCGGGACTCGCGGGGCTCGGAGCTCGCCCGGCCGCGGGACTCGCGGGCTCGGAGCTCGGCCCGGCCGCGGGACTCGCGGGGCTCGGAGCTCGGCCCGGCCGCGGCTCGCGGGGCTCGGCCGGCCGCGGGACTCGCGGGGCTCGGCTCGGCCGGCCGCGGGACTCGCGGGGCTCGGCTCGGCCGCGGGGCTCGCGGGGCTCCGCTCGGCCGTGAGGCTCGGAGCTCACGGGGCTCCACCGGAACTCGGAGCTACAACAAGCCGTCTTTGCACACGAGCTACCTAGCATAATGCGCTAGCAACTACAAACGTGGTGCTAGTTTAGTTAGGAATTCCTACTTACAACCAGTATTACACGAGGCTAAGTCTTAGTTAAAAACAAAGGCAATATGTAGTAAAATTTCCCTTTTGTAAAACCTGCTACAAAATGATGCAGTGCTTACTTATGACCCTGAACATTAACACTTACAAGCATGCATTCTTATTGAACAAACTAACGTTAACATTTACTCTTATAACATAATGATACTTACCTTTAATCCGTGAAGTTGGTCGACGCTGTCTCAGGTGCATGCAGACATCAAAGTTCCCAACATGGCGGCTGTACTTCCGGAAAATCTACTCATTTGCATGTTTTGTTTTCTTGGATCTGATTGGTCGATGTCTCGGATGTGTGTGTGTGTAAGAGAGACATGCAGTTACACTGGTTGGCCATAGGTGGCGATACTGAGCACCCCCAAAATACACACATAACACACTTTTTCGAAATTTCATGACTTTTAGGACAACCTAAATTTTTGTATTGAGACAGTTTATAATGGGGTCCTAGGCTCATCTATAGCAAAAACATGATGGGGACCGAGTGTGTGTCCCCACCTGTCAAACGGTCCCCACCGCGTGAGTCCTTTCTCCGGTCAAAGTCCCCACTTTGTGATAAAGGCAAGTACACACACACACACACACACACACACACACACACACACAGACACACACACACACACACACACACACACACACACACACACACACACACACACACACACACACACACACACACAGACACACACACACACACACACACACACACACACACACACACGACACACACACACACACACACGACACACACACACACACACACGACACACACACACACACACACACACACACACACACACACACACGACACACACACACACACAGACACACACACACACACACACACACACACACACAGACACACACACACACACACACAGACACACACACACACAGACACACACACACACACACACACACACACACACACACACACACACACACACACAGACACACACACACACACACACACACACACAGACACACACACACACACACACACACACACACAGACACACACACACACACACACGCACGCACGCGCACACACAGACACACACACACATACACAGACACACACACACAGGAAGTGCACCTGAAACTGCTTCACACTTGTTTCAATCGTCTGACCTCCATGACTTAAGACATGATCAGACTATTCACCTACAAAACAAAAGCAGCACTGTGTAACATGTGCTCAGGCACCTGCTTGTCTCCATGGAGATAGATAACTTTTATGCCATACTATGGAACATTTCAGGCAAAGTGTGTGTATAAGGAAGTGACGTCAGCCAAAATGTTCAGCTCCAGTCAAAGCAGCAGTTATGAAGAGAGGTGCAACACAAAGTGAATTGGAGCCAGAGTCGATGGAGCTGGAAGCACACCCATGCTCACTTCCTATTTGGAAAGTACTGGCTAGCAGGTTAGCTCTGTCCAATCATATATACAGTCTGTATTTATAAGTTTTTCTTTGGAGCAATAAAAACAAATGTTTGTTTTAATGTCAGTATATTTTGTACATGTTACACAGAGCAGAGGGGCTGTAATAACAAACAAATGTAATCAGAATAATGATTTTAGAAAACAAATGATTAGATTTGAAGAATCATACTTCAAATGTAAAGTGATGGCAGTGGTGAGTTAGTGAGTTAGTGTCCAGATGCACAGAGAGCAGCTCGTGTCCTTTGGATATGGAGAACAGAGCTACTGAAATTCCATAAGGGATTCATCAATAACACTGATTTAGTTAGTTTAGTCATTTCGCAGAGTTATTCTACATGTTAATCTACATGTTAATTCTTGCATTAACTACAAGAAGTCTCAACTTTTTTTTTTTTTTACCGATACCAACATGCTGCTGTGTCCAGTAACCATTATCTGCTGATACACCCACAGCAAACCCCTCACATTTCTGTTAAGAGTCACATATTATTTATTCACTTTTGAACAAATAATAACAAAACCAATGCAGCTTTTTCAATACCAATATCAATACTTAGGTTTTAAGTATCTACCCGATATTAACCGACAATAGGGCAGAGACTTAAAGTATAAAGTATGAAAATATTTGTCCAGTAAAATGTCTAATTATACCAGTTTATCGACCAAAATGGAATATCGACTGAACTGATATCAACTGAACCAATATTCCATCTACCAACATTTTGAAAATAACAGCGTTGATATCTGATACCAGTGTCATATCGGTGCATTCCTAATTTGTGCAGGATCTTTGTTGTAGATTGTGTAACTGTCGCACTGTCATATTTCTAGCCTCATGTCTCTTCTTTTTCCATAGCTTCTCATGAGTCTGTTCAAAAAGACAAATCTGATCTGAGGACAAACTATAATGACACATGGACACAAACTATAAAAAATATCGTCAAATATCTGCAAAATGTTGTGTACTGATGGCTGAGAAAAAACTCTACACTACACTATACTTGACACCAATATCGCACACTGCAAATTTCTCTGATCTGGCTAAGATTTTAAAAACTTATATCAGGTTATTCATCTTGTTTTCAGATTTATTGTCTACTCACTAGTTCTGAGATGCTTCATTCTAGTCTAGAGGAAGTTTATTTTAAGATAACTTGTCAAATACAATTATCTGACCATGTAACAAGATAACTTCATTACATTTATGTCATTTTCTGATTGATTTAAGTGTTTATATCTTAAGCTTTTTTGCAGTGGAACCGATTTTATGTGTTTGTTTGTTTTGTTTTTTTCATGGTCGATGCCGATACTGATCATTTAGAATTCAGAGCGACCAATGGTTGATAAGCTCTGTCGTAATTTTTGGTCCAATTTTGATTATTTTCCCCACGCTACGTTAACTCACCCATAGCCTCCTTTTTGCCACATCCTATAAAAGAGCTGCGCAATCATGTTTTGTGCTCTTATTTCTTTGCGCTCAAGTGTTCAAATAAAGCTCTATGTGGGTTCTTTAGGCAGGTGATCATTTAAAAGAAAATCTCGGCCTGTGCTGAAGATTTAAGACTGACAGACGATACCCTTAAAAGTACAAATAAGGGTCTGATATATCTGCCAACCAGTCTCGAGTTGAAACGTCTGATCCAAGCCCTTTTAAAGATCTGAGAGTGGGATTGCGCTGCTGGAACTCCCCGGGCTCCTCTCCCGTCTCCTGCTCAGGATCACAGGCCCACCTCACATCTCCAGGACTCCCTCTGCCGCAGCTCCTTCCAACTCATCTGAAGGAGCGGCCGACGGACAAGACCGACTGGTTCAACACCCGCCAAACCTGAACAGCTACCAGGTGCTGTCTCTCTTTTAGGTGCACAATAGAAGATTGCAGGTGGAGGCGCTCGGGTGGTGCTCCTGATACTAGACATAACAAAGCCCACGGAGAGGAGAGAGTTACTGTGTTACTTGGGGCAAACTGGAAACTGCCAAGCAAGTTTAGAGACTTAAAAGACAATGGACAAGCCTTAAGGGACTGCTACATTTACCATGTGAAAGTTCAAGAGATTGTAGAGACGGCTCAAACAGGCGTGGATGGTTTAATTCAGGTTATTAGAGACTAGTGTTAGGAATGTCATCAACATTCCCTGGAAGGTGTGATGCTAACTGTAGGCATGTTCTGTCTGAGCCTTTGTTAGAAGTTAATGTGGGATTTACTTGAACACAATCTGAACAAAAGGAGATGACTTAGTTAGAACTACAACAGGTGATCTGATACATGCCAAACAAGTCCATCTCAAATATCATTACAGTCACAAGCTTCCTAGTATTAGATGACAGTTTTTCAGTCAGCATTTGTATTTGTATTTGTATTTGTATTTGTATTTGTATTTATTTATTAAAGCAGGGGTGTCCAGACTTTTTTTCATCAAGGGCCACATATCTAAACACAGATGAAGCAGAGGGCTGATCGAGGGTCATAGACTGGTGCTCAATACAGAGAATAATTGAAATCTGTGCAGGTTTAACACGTTAGAATGAGCCATCAGTGTTTATTCATGCTAAGATCCTTACAATCACACACTAAATATGAAATATTAGTTTTATCAATGTAGATTTTCAAAGTAGTAGTGGAGTAAAAAATGTTTTTTTAATTGATGCAAGGTCATTTGGGCCAATTCACCTAGAAGTTGGAGGGCCAAGAAAAATTTGTCTGAGGGCCACATTTGGCCCCCGGGCCATAGTTTGGACATGCCTGTATTAAAGATAAGATAAGATAAGATATGCCTTTATTAGTCCCACAGTGGGGAAATTCCAGTGTTGTAACACACAATTCAAGAACAGCAGGAAAATGCTAACATACAATAAAACAAGATAATAGAGAATGGCTTAAAAATAGACTCTAATGTAACACACTGTTTCGGTGGAGCAAAAATATAAAATAACAAAAAAAATATTATGTACAATAAAAGTAACAGTGCAACATATGAACGGAATAAATCTCAGTAAAGTGACTTCAGTATATTATAATATTATTTACAGTAAAGGGACAGTGCAAATTAAAACACAAGATAATGCAAGAGAAAAAATGTACTTGCAAAAATGCAGCCAAAGCTCATTTACCTCCTTAGTCCCCTCCTGGACCAAGGCCACAGCACCCACACACTTCACAAAACAACACCCGTCATACACTGTAAAACACACTCATACTACATGAGTATTAACGGGACAGTTCGGAATTTTGGACATAGGGCCTCATTTCCTCATGAGTCAGAGTGTTGGAGACGTGTGGAGACACTTTTTAAAAAATATTCCATCCAGTCCTTGTATTTGCAGAGGTCGCTGGTGCTAGACTAGTGCATGTCAATGGTCATAGTTCTCCTGCCACTAAAAACAGTCTTACCCACTCCACAAAACACCCAAAACAAATCTATTATTACACCAGACTGTCCATGTGAATGTCTGTGTTGATAGAATAATTTAGAAGTAAAACCAACCTTGCATTTGAAGGATGTGAAGGTGTGCGCAGCAGCAGTGAGTTGTTCTTCCAGATAGAAAGCTCAGTAGCGGCGGACTGATATATGAGAAAATAGTCCCTCAACATGCAACGATTCATGTGATACAAGGTTAGTTTTATCTCAAACATTATTCTATCAACACAGACATTCACGTGGATTAAAATCCACCTGTAATGACTAAACCATCAAAGTGCATACAACTGAAAGCATCTCAGTAAAATCATCAGGAGGAGGTTTGTATATGACGATGTAGAGTCTGGACGGTGATTGTTTTAGCTCCATTTGGAAGGAAACATACTCAAATGATGAAAACACCCCAAATGACAACCTGTGTGTAACCAAATGATCTCTAAAAAAAGCACACACTCCTCCACCCTTTTTATTTGCTCGTGTTTTTTTGAAGTTGGGAGGGGTTGATTCCACTAGCACTGCATGACCTGTGTTTTTGTCAAGCCATGTTTCAGTTAAAAACATAAAGTCAAGATTAAAAGAAGAAATAAAATCATGAATTAGAAATGATTTGTTACATAAAGATCTGACATTGAGCACAGCAAGTTTCTGATTAGTTTCAGTAGGACTGGGTGTCATCTTCTTACAGAGAATAAAGTGAATGTTTGGTGAATTTTATCAAGGGGAAAGACGTTATTGTCCTTCTTCCTACTGGATTTGGGAAAAGCTTAATATACCAGTTAGCCCCGTTAGTGGAACATTACATACATCACAACCAAATAGGAGTGATTGGTTAAATGATAAAAAGTACCCACGTACTTTCGAGTGAACAAATTGTAATGCTGCAAAGTCATACGGTTTCAATGAAGTGAAAGCGGCTGATGAATCAGGCTGGGACAAATCAGTGGTTTTGTATAAAATCTGCTGGGACAGGGGACACATAATTCAAAACTGGGACTGTCCCGGTTAAACAGGGACGTCTGCCCTAGTAAATTCACAAATGTTGAACCTGATCATTTCTATTACTGACTACATCAGGGGTGTCAAACATACGGCCTGGGGGCTGGATCTGGCCCTCCAAGACTTTTAATCTGGCCCTTGGTTGATTTTCTACTAAAATATATTAATAATATTTTCTATTAAAATCTTGTTAATTTTCTGTGGTGTTTATCACAGAGCAGCACAAATGAAGACTTGTCTCTTTCCAAACGCTCTTAAAGGACGATCGTTTTGACTGTTGACCGTGACACCCTCATCAGAAAAATGTCCAACATGAGAAAAGTGGAGCCGAGTGCAGGATTTTACAAGAAAAATTGACTTATTCCTGTTTACATACAAGTTCATGTTAAAACATTGTGTTGAAATTGTATTTTTCTCAAAGTTTTTGTAAAAGAAAGAGTTCATCAATTCATAAATTTTTGTAATAGATTTGTGTTTCTCTGCACAAATATTTGAACTTATTGTTATTTTTGGGGTTTATATGACATGAGTTTTCTGATCCGGACCCTTTGGGATCAAAGTCGGTTGGATACGACCCCGGACCAAAATGAGTGACCCCTGGACTAGATCTTATTACTCACTGTATTACAACAAAAATCTACATTTTACTGCTCCTAATCTGTATTAAACATAAGTGGACATGAGTGAATGTCATCTGAAAAATAAAAACAGAAATGGTCCAGATGATCAGAACTGCACTTGAAACTGAAAAAAACACTTCTTCTTTTTTGAGTGATCACTTCCTGCCTGTGCTCTCTGTCTGTGCACTCCCACACTTCACACGTTGGAGCGGCTGAGGTGAGCTTTGCTACGCTCTCACTGATAACATCAGCCTGCGCCGCGACAAAAGAGGAAGTGCTCTAACCTACCATATACACACAGACACACACACACACACACACACACACACACACAGACTGCATCATACTTTCCTATGCCGCTCACGTCAGCTCAGCTCCTGATGCTGGCTCCACGCATGAATGAAATAATGATAATGTGTCCGCGTAAACGGCCCGCGCTAACGTGAGGCAGTGAGTTAGCCGCATGTGCAAATGGAACGGATGACCTTTGACCCGCAGGTAGACAATGAGAGCAAACAGAGCGGAGGACGGTGAGAGAAATGTGTGTGTGTTGACATGCTGACCCTGGTGTGAGCACATGCGCCGCACTGTTAGTCACTTTGGTATTTTACACAATACAAAAGCTCGCTGGCCGTGTTATCTTGAAGCCGTTTAAGGTCACAAGTTGAACCGGAAAGCAAGACATACCCAGTGTGTTTTAGTAGTAGTAGTTTAGTCGGTCATTTCGCAGCACTGCAAAACAAAACAAAACAAAACATAGACTACAATCCCATAGATCAGGACTGAAAGGGTTTAGGGTGAAGTAAAAAGTACTTATAACACCTAATCCCAAATTGTTTCTTACACAGATGTGATTTATAAGGCACTCGGGTTGTC